CGGGCCGCGATGGCCCGGGGCGCTTGAGGCCCTCCGAACCCCCGACCCGACGCACGGGCGTGCGCGCACGAGACCCTCCTGCGTGGGCGAGATGCGGCAGCCTCGTATCACTTTCGGTTTTTCCCCTCTTGCCCTGTTCCCATCATCTTCTCACCATCGTCGTGACATCCCGTTCCATCGCATCCCATCGCATCACATCACATCACATCACATCATCCGAGCCTCGACTCACGTTCCCTTGGCTTGCCAGCCAGCCAGCCAGCCAGCCAGCCTTTCCGAGCCTCGACCTGCCTGTTTCTGTCCCTCTCCAGGCGATCGACGACGAGTCGGTCGGACCGCATCACATCAAGTCGGTGGCGGATGCGGGACGAAGCCTCGTCTGTCATTGCTCGACGCCACGCTCGTTTCTCGTTCGTCTACCGCTCGCTCGCTCTGAGACCAGAGCGCACGCCTGGCTACAACAAACTAGACTGCGACCTCCTCGACGACGACGACGACGACGGCCCGCCCGCCCGTTCGCCCGTCCGTCCGCCCGCCCGGCCAACGCCTCGAGCCCATTCATCTCATCACACCGATAAGACGACCGACGACATCGAAAAAGGCCGGGCCGACGACGACGACCAAGGGGCCGAAGGAGAGGCTCGCCTCATTCGAGCTCGGCGAGCTCGGCGCGGATCTCGTCCTCGCTCTTGATCTTGTTGACCTGGGTCATTTCGAGCTTCTCGCCCTTGGCCTGGCGCATCTTGAGCTCCTCGATGGCCTTGAGCTTCTTGGTCAGGTTGCGGATCTTTTTCTCGACGCCGCTCGCCTGCGGCGTTCCCCCGACGTCCTGCGGTCCCGCTACCAGCGGCGCTGCCGGCGTCTCGGGCGCCGTCGCTGCCGCTGCTCCTGCCGCCGCCGTCGCGTCCGGATGCGAGCCGTTGGCCTGCTGCTGCCCCTTGCCCTTCTTCTTGGAAGACGACGAGGCCTGGCGATTCGACGACGACGCCTGTGCGGAGCCCGGCGGTGCGCCCGCTCCGGGAACCGAGCGCTTGCCCCGGTTGCCCGAGCCGGGCGCCTGGTAGGTGCCGTTGGTGTTCTGCTGCGAGCCGGAGCGCGACAGGCTCGGCGTCGAGGCTCCCGAGCCGCCCTCGTCGACTCGCTTGAAAATGTCGGGCGTGTTCTGGCCGCGCGCGCCGGGCGGTCGGTAGG